TGGCCTCGAGCATTTCCGTTATTAATAGTCACTTCCCACCCCCAGAACCCCCAACCCATCCAACACCCCCCCTCTGCTCCTTGTCCCCTGACTACCCCTCCAGAGACCCCCTGCCCCTAACTATCCCTCCCAAGACCCCATCCCTTATCTAAGCCTCCCTGCTCCTTGTCCCCTGACCGCTGCCTCCAAAGACCCCCCATCCCTAATCACCCCCAGAACCCCGCTCCCTACCCAACCCCCCTGCTTCCTCTCCCCTAACTGCCCCGACCCCTATCCACACCCCCGCCTCTTGACAGGCCCCGTGGGACTCCCACGCCCCCGTTCCCCGTCCGCCCTGCCCCCAGAACCTCCGAACCATCCAACCCCCCATGCTCCCTATCCCCTGACCGTCCCTTAAGACCCTCTGCCCCTTATCCAAGCCCTCAACCCCTGCCTGGGACCCTTAACATGCTGCTCAGAGAAGCGTATCGGAGCCAGACACGCTGATCTGCTGGAGCGCGCAGCCCCGCACCCCAGAGCGCTGCTTTACCACGTTATATCTGAATTTGTGTTATATCGGGTCACGTTATATCGGGGTAGAGGTGTACTTAAGTTGTTAGTTGTTTGGGGCAGGAACCTTGTCTTCCCATAGATCTGTAATGCACTGAGTACACCTACAGTGCTAAAGAAATAATAGATAGCATTAATGTAAAAGGAAGGGATCTAAAGTTAAGCAGGTTTGTGCTTAACTTTCATTGTATAATTATGGGACTTAATAGTATAGAAATACAGACACATGGGACTTCAAGGGATAGCCCTGATATCTATTGAATTGAGTTTAGTGACAGATAAATGCACAGTACCCTCACAGACATCCACATTTTAATGGTCTGTATAAGGATTCAATCATCTCTCATTTTTCTTGTACCACAGCAGCCAGACACATGAAAAAAGATTAAAAGATCCAAGCTGCCTTCAGGACAGGAAGGTGAGTTATTTGCACAGACTCCATCCGTTTTATAGAGGCGTGAAGTCAATGAAAGTTGAATGTGATGTCTGAGTGTCAAGGTACGCTAAACGATCTCTTACATGGATGTTTTCTTTAAGGGTTTGTGTGGGTAGGTTTTCACTTCAAGCGATCTTAACTGATTAACAGTTGCTTTCTTTGTGAGAAAATATTTAATTTACAGATGAAAACAGGTTTGGATTTAAATATTACCCTGCACCATTTGCAACCCAATCACTGCAGCATTGAGCTAAAAATACCATCTCCATAATAGGAAGCAAATTCACTTTACAGGTAACAAGAGATGCCAGAAATTCTTGTTTTGTTTTGTTATGGAAGCGGGGGAAGTAAATGCAAGTTTCTCTTGCAGATCCCAGATATAGGCAATTGCGTAAGCTCATATCCCACCTCTACCATCCTCGTCAGAGCAGCGGCGTTTGTGTCTCAGACCTTCCACAGCTGATACTGACTGGCTTCGAGGCATCTTCTTCAGGGACCTTTTTGATGGAGAAAGCATCTCTTCATTGAAGAGGTTCCGTCGCACTTTTGTCACCTCTGAAAGCACCAGAAATGGCAAAAACTAAGTAGATATACCACAAAGGTAATTCTCTCATGGGGCACTGGAGGTAGGAAGAATGTAAATAGACCCGACACTTATGAAAGCAAATAACTTTTCAAAAGGTGTGAAAAAGCCAAATAACTGAAGAGGTAGTTTGTACTGGTGAAAACAGTCACTATCCATGCCCTTCCCCAAACCCACCCTGGAGTTCTCTTATGAGGGTTCCTCTTTATTTACACTTGTCAGCTATTTAGGGTTCCCTTGACAGTAATCTACAGAAAGAGGCTAAGAAGGAGAAAGAAGGTAGGTCGAGTTCAAAGCACCAAAAGGATCACGATATTCATAGGAAATATCCACGACAGAGAATCTGAGCTGCAGCACCGGTGGTCGTGGGGTTTGTTACCTAACATTTTATAGAACACTTGAATTTTGAAACTGACATTAACAAGTTTCTAGTTGCAAAGATATCCTGAACATGACATTTATGAGAGCTTTGAGAAGAATGGAGTATGAACTGCCCCTTCGTCTCAATGGGGTGGTGACTGAAGCCCAATGGTTGTTATATCAAATTTCTTTGTGGTCCTCTGAGCATGAATCAGAGGCAAAAGGATCTAAGGAAATCTAAGAAGATCTAAGGAAACTGGCAGATCAAGGGAGACATGGAAGACTGACATTTTGTATATTTTTGAGACTACACTGATTGAAATTAGCCATTTTTTATAAAATTATTCAGTAACTTACTCAACAGCCTATCAGCGTGTTGAGTGAATTAACTCACGAACGCCAATAGTTTTCCCCAAAGTTTCCACAGACCGTGGGAACATTTCCTGCAGATTTCCTGTCTCTTTATTTGTGGAACACTCCTGGCTCACTACAATGTACAATGAAATCAGCCGTGTGTGGAACCACTCAGCTTTCTATGGAGAAGCTAGTTGTCATACCTTGCACTGCCTCCTTCTGCAGGGGAAGCAGCTGTTGGGCTTTTTCCGTGGCAAAGTAAGAGAGAGAGTTTTCCTGAAATGAAGATGTAATAAGTGTTAAACTGCTAGTTTATACTTAAAATCACAAGTGTGAAACATTTAGACAAGTATTTCAGTTTTCAAATTCTGCCTCACAATGATTTGTGCAGCTGATACAGGGCACTCAATAGGCAAAGAACACAATTCACCCACATGTGGTATTACAATGCTGCAGATACCCCACCCAATCCCCTAGGAAAGCTTTACCTTTCTGATGGGATTCTTGGGTAGTTGGGGAATTTCAATCTGGCGTAAATTCTGAGATGCTTCTGTCATGCTCCTGTGTCTGGCTAATGCATTATTCCTTTAGAAAGGGTACAAGAAACGAAGATAGAATAAAGACAGACAAATGTAAGTACCAGCTCTACTGATATCAGTTCTTATATGGAACATAACTTGAGTTTGTTTCTAGTGAGGCAAGCAGGTCATATTACAGACTTCATCTGTATTAGGATTGCAAGCTCGTTGGGACAGGGACCTCATCTATACTGCAAGGAGCCTTTAGGTGTTTTGATAAAACAGCTCCAACTATAATCCAAAAACAAGGCTGAAACTCAGTCCTTAATTCATTCAAAACCATATCACCTAGGCTCAGCCACAATGAGTAATTCAGTTTCATCTTTAACTCCTCGGGTTCCTGAAGAAATATATTGCACAGCGTGACTCCTCCACAGAATGGACTTGGTATCTGTACAGATCAGTGACACTATTAAGACTGCAGGATATCCCAGAGCATGCAAAACTTTCAGCACACATGGAGTTAGATTGCAAATTCCTTGTTTGGGTGGGTTTCATTTAACTCCATTGTAGTCTAAGAAATCTGGTGGAGTTTGATTTGATTTCTTTTAAAAAAATAAACAAACACTCCAGCCTGGGGTATGGAACCCCTCCCAGAAGAGAAATTGGGCAACAGATCACAAAGGCAGGATTCAAATTCATTTACCTGGCTAATCAATTTACACAATAGGCCATGATGTTCCCATGGAGCGTGATTAAGTTGTTTAAAACTAGCATTAGTCATTAATCCAGATATAAAGAAAGTAGTTTGACAAATTTTTAACTAAAGTGTCTTCTGGGTTTAATTTATGTCAAAGGCCCAAGCCACAATTCTCTCTTACAAGCCCATCATGGCACAGTTCCATTTCCATGGACAAAACAACCATATTCCCAGAAGTATGGCACAGCTTTTAATGTGATTTAACGGATTTAGGGCCTGAATAGCATGAACTAATTCATTAGATACTTACCAAGATCAGCCCTGATTAGTTATCCAGCAACTGAGCTCACCATGATGAGGACTATAGATTAGATAGCTACTCAGTCACAGGGTTGTGAACAAAATAAAACCCTCCCCCTTAGGAAATACCTCCTCCTCTTTTTGGCAGATCTGGTGCGCAGCTCCTCCAATTGATCAGTCTCAGTGCTTAGGGAAGCTATGCTGTGAGCTGGGACCGATGTCACAGATGGAGGAAGAGTTGAAGATCTACTATCCAGAGTCATCGAGTCATCACTGAAGAAGTCTGCAGGCAGAACAGATGCCAACTTCGGAGGAATCTGCGTACCCAGACTGTAGTAAAGACCACCAAGGGTCTTCGGTATGGAGTCCATATATCTAGAAGGTACCACCGGATAAACAACATAGGTAAGCTTGGCAGAATTCAAATTTTTATTTTTACTTTTGACACATATCAATGTTTGTTTTTAAGCTTTCTATTTTTATCTATTTAAATTTTCACAATGGGGGAACTTATGGGATGATCATACAATTATTTAACCACCAATACTGAGATTCAAAAAGTTAAAGCTTTATAACTGCTGAACTGCAGCTTGTCAAAATAGCCTTAAATCAAATTTTAATAAGTTCTCAAGCAGCCCTTTTATTGCTTTGTCTATCTGTAAATTTCAGTTAGCATTGGTATAAATATTTCTCATCAATTTGTGTGTGTATGGTCAAATCGACATTTACTGGGGGGGAAAAAATAATCTAACCCTTCCAAGCCTGAATACATGTCAAACACACAATAGGCAGCAAGACCCACAAAATCCACCCCTGTGAGATTTCACTTCTAACTTTTGTACCTATGCCTTTACCATGACTTAAAATTCTACTCGTCCTAAGCAAGTAACTGTTTTTGATGGGCAAGTAAAATATCATGTGTCTTTTCTTTAACAATAAGGATAAAGTATGGCAAGTGGATTGTATCTGAGCTAGTACATTTTCATGACAGTTTTCCAAAGCTACCTGAAATCAATGCTCAAAGTTTGCCATTTACCTATGACAGGTACCTAACCAAGCCTATATTCCAGTGATAACATTTAATATTTAACCACCACCATAAAGCACTTACGATACTAAGACGTCCTCAAGAAATTTTGTAAGGTACCCTGGGTCTTCAGTGAGACACAAAATGCGCAGCATCTCGGTCATCTGTAAGAGAAGATCAGATGGGGGAGAAATGTCACAGATCAACCACTCCAAGACCGAGCCTTATGGTGCGAGCAAAGAAAATTGGGCTGGGAAAGCTACGTGTTCCAGGTCAACATTTCCAATCCCATCTAGAAGCCCAGACATATTTACTTGCCTCCTCCACCAGTTGCTCCATTTCATCTGCTCTGCTCTGTAGCGAGGGACACTGCAAACACATCTCAAGGCGCAGAAATACCTGAAGCTGACACCTACACAGAAACAGTAAGTAATTTATTGCCATTCTTTCTAGTCAAACAGTCACATTCATGTTACTGCTCACTGACTAGAGCTTTTAAAGGTTTGGGGGTGGGGGAGGGGGGAAAATGGGATTATTAATATAAAATTCATTTGGTTAGTTTTCTTTCCTTGAAAGGAGTGACATGTTCTCTTAAACACTGTATCTCGCTGTAGTAAAGCTTTCACTGCAGTGGATATTCACTCACTTTGATACAGAAATTATCCCTGAAGATTTGCCCATAGAAATACATCTCTAGTTGTATTGCAAAGTGACCTCTAAAATAGCTAATCAAAACTGCAGTGGTTTTTAAGTTGCAGTAAATAGAATATTGTGCATCATACTCTCTGACTTTGGTTTCCTTGTTAGGATTGACATCATACTGTTGTCGGAGAGTTTTGCTGGTCTTTAGGAGATGACTTCGGACTCTGTCCAAGCAGGCCACCTGCAAATACACAGAAACATAGCATAGGGGCTCCAAGGTACTTTTTCCCTCATCATGCAGCAAGTTCTCATTCTAACTTGTTCAGTACTATGGAAGACAACTCAGTAAAAAAATCCAGGTTTTGAAGCTAGTAAAAATAGTACAAGAATATACAATAAGGAGTAATGGGATGAAAATAAGCAGGGAAAATTTAGATCAGTGGTTCTCAACCGATTTACCATTGTGGGCCGCTTATGCGGCTTGCTGTGCGATGCGGGCCTCAGCCACTACCTGTATAGCCCTGAGGAAGTCACATGGGTCACAGCTATGTGCTGATTGGGCCGTGGGTTGACAATAGTAGACCGTAGAATAATTTCCCAACAGAAGTGGCAGACATTTTAGTAGGAAGGGATTTAAAAAAAACAAAAAAAAACCACCCCACAATCCTGCCCTGGCCTCTGGCAGAGGAAGAACTAAATGTGACATAATAGGCCTTTTCCATCTCTGTCTATGAATAATCTAGTGTGTCTGAAAGGAAACCAATTCAGTGTTATTGCAGTTCATCCATACGTGTGGTCTTATCTGTACTAAAATGTAGCTAATGTAAGCACTCAGGAGGCAGGAAAGTGTGCAGACATAGATCTGGTTTTGACTGGAGGACCCTCAAAAGAACTTTGGAATTTTGTATCTTCCACACTATTCCTCCCTTCAATTATTTGTGAACCAACCAATTTTTTATTTCTAAATAGCCTTATGAACCCACAACTCTCCAGCTGTTGCTTCAAATATGAACTCAAATACATTTTCTTTTGAATCAGTACCAAAACAGTTTTTAGTTTACAAACAATTTTCCAGAGAACTCCATGGCAGTACATTTCTTATAACGGTCTGATTCTTGTATAAATGAACCAGTTCAGACAGAAGAGCGAAGGTTTCTGTGTGCGCGCCTGAACTGGCTCATTTATACACACACACACGATGAAATAATTCTAAAATTTAGTGAGTTTTTCTTGAATCTCATACTTCAGCAGTGATCCCGGCATGTAATTTTAACCAAACACCCACATCTCTAGAGTTTAAGAGCCTGGAGACACTTTTACATAGATCTTTATCCATGTGTGGCATTAACTGGAAAGACCTGCGTCACTGAAAGCACAGCCTCAGCATATGCATTTGTCAACAGATTTGCCTACCTCTCTTTCTTTGGCATCTTTTGGTTTCAGAAAGCTTTTAATGGCTGTGACCATATTCCGTGCACACACAAACGTCAGAAATTCTCCATTAACCAGAGCCTCTTGGTAATTTGCAGTTAAATGGGAAAGCATCTCCTCTTCAGTTTTGAAATCTGCAAGGTAAGCAGAGCAAACGAACTATAAGCAAGAAGTAATGAATGGGCAGATACAGCTGTCCTCTCCAATAACCAGGCCCATGTAACAGAGTGGGGTTGTAACAGCAGTTCTCTTGCAACATGATGGCCAGGCCAACAGAAGATTTACAAAAGAAGTCCCTCAGGAATCCTCAACTCAGACCCAAGGCAAGTGAACCGATAAAGCTCTCAGTCCTTCTCAGACTGAAACAGGCTTCCAGACTACCTCTAATATGCCAGTAACAGACACCAAGCCCTGGGGGCAGCAAGACCTACTGTCTGGAATGGCAGGCGCTATGCGAGCCTCCCCACATGCACACAGGACTATTCCTATACAGGATAGCAGTAAAAAGCTATAGTACCTATAGCTGGCACAGCCTTCACTTCCAAATTATGAAAACAAAAGCCAACACCATCAGATTAAAATGAAATCCTGCCTGGGCTCCTGGGGCTTTAGCTTCAGTGCCACCCAGTCAAATCCCCCTCAAAATCCCAAGAGGGAGGACTGGAATAGATCAACACCAGAGGTAGCTTCACAGGGCTCTTTCCTTGCCTCAGAATAAAGCCTAAGACAAGAAAGCCCCCCATATCATGGGCATAACTGTTTCCACCTACACCTAGATGCTTTGACATCTTTGTTTCCTCCCGTATACAGTCTCACATTGCTTTCAATTATTTTGCAACTAGAGGAGTAATTAACCACATCCTATGCTACAAATTATGCAGTCCAATAGGTCAGTATAAAGGTCTAGAAAGCAAACCTCAGAGGGAAAGAACTTCACCCCCACTGGCATGAAGAGATAGAATCTCAAGAGAGTGCCCCAAACCTGTATCTGCTGCCATGCCACTTTACCTAATTGCTCTGCTCTGCCCCCGTCACAAACACCAGAGCCAATAAACCTGTCTGACATGTACCTATGGAGATTTTCAGCACTCTTCGATTTTCTTCCAGCTTATCATCTGATCTCCGTAACAGCTTCTGAGGTACCTTCTCACCAGCTGCTGGTGGCACTCCATCTGGCTGAAACTTTTGAGCCTTTACATTCAGCCTTGCTACATTCAACATCTGCAGGGAGCGGGACATGGTCTTCATCTTCTGCCTGACTGGAGTCCGGGGGACCCCCCCTGTAGGATCACAAAAGGTTAAATTCTCATCGGGCACAGAGGAGTTGGAATTCAGACGACGTGATCACAAGACGCCATCCGGCAGAACACTGGCACCACAAGACAGGCTAGATGCTACATCGTTAACATAAATTTTTGGTTGTTTAAAATGTAAATTTCAATACAGCAACGTTAGCTTCCCTCGGCACAGTGATGGGGCAAGAAGAATTCAGAATGTGAGGGAAAGACTCAGGCAGGTGGTTCTGCCGGTTTCACTAGGCTCAGCCTCCTTTTTGAAGGGTGGATCTCCAGCTCACCTAGGAAGGAATAGAGACTGCTAACTTGTTTTCAGTTAGCTAGCCACATCATGATCTTTGAACGTATGCAACACACGTACCCAACGTAATCGTAATGTATAGATACACTGCTCTCAAACAGTTATTCCGGGCACCTGGCCTTTGCTCAGTGCTTTCTACAAGAGAAATGGTATTAGAGGGGCACCCCATGAGTGACTGAAGAGGAACCCAGGGCAAGTAGCTTCATCTTAGAGTAAGGACGAGAGTACCATGTTACACAATGGGGGAGAATGTTAGAGCAAGCTCAGCTTCCTGTTTTCAAGACAACAGTTGTATCCTGGACTAAAAACCAGGCTGGAAACCAAACTGTTTTTAGCTCAGAACATGGTTTTTACCAGCTTAACAAAAGGTTTCCCCAGTCTGTTGTTTCAAAATGGGCTCTCAAATTGAGGGGGGAAAATGGCTTAAAACATTAAAAATTCTTTAAAGATTCTGTCATTCCTGCCTCCCTCTCCTCAGCCTCTTTCTCCTTAAGCGTCAGGCTCATGTCTTCTGAATGATTTCAATACATTTTTGTTTATCAACAGTGAAGGATGGACAATATAAATCCAGATATATGAGCTATGGTGGGGACAAGTGCCCGGCTGGCTTGTAAACAGGGAAATACAGTTTTTTTAATTTTAAAAAGCAAACCCCACTTTTCAGTGCTTTTTGGGCATTTTCTCCTAATGTTTAAAGTACATTTTAGAGATTTTCTGCTTCAGTGAAGAGAGAATGATGATTAAGTGGTATATTTGTTGCAGGCAAGCAGCTTGAAAATCCTGAGTACAGAGTCTAATTAGAGCAGAGGGTTTATAATACAGAGTATAGAAATCTGCATATTAACTGAAATGTCACTGAGAAATAGCTATACAGGGATTATATGATTCAGATGCTCCCAGAGTGGAGCTGCTTAACCGGGTAAAAACCCTAGTTCTGCATTAGAAACTAAAGCATCCTTCCCTATGTCAGAAAGAATTCAATTTCTGTAATATGAGGCAGCTTCTTATTTATATAATTCCACCACTATATCCCAGCTAGGTAAACTTTCCCTGAAAATGTAGGGGATTAGCAGTCCAAGACATTCATAAAGTATCCCTGAATTATTATACTGAAATGTCTAATGCTTAAATATTGTGAGAAGAAAGCTGGTTAAAATGTTTGTTCTAATTTTAAAAAATTAAGAAAAGTGGAGAAGATGTGAAGTCATGTTAGTTGTGGGCAAAAAGATGAGAAGTCCAGAAGGCAATAGGCAACTAAAGTGCAGAGATTTGCATATTGCATGGTTATTGAAAATGGGTTTGTCAATAACTGTACAGCTTTGCTTGGGTCCAGCTGGGGCTCAGGGTTCATTTTATGCATAAATAACATTGCCCTTTAATAAACAAGCTACATTGCCACCATCTGAAGCAGCTCAGAACTGTGCCTTTGCTCAGGGAAGGTCAGGTGTTCAAATTTCAGGTTACCAAGAATGTTGCTGCAAAATGCCAAAGACTACAGGATGATGGGAATGCTCAGCACTCACGCAATCCTCGTCTAGACATACGTCTTTTTTTGTGGTCCCTTGGCTCAGCTGTGGCAGATGCTTCACTCGATTTTCTCTGATAGAACTCAGATAGACAGTGTGTCAGCTCCATTTCAGGCTGGGAGGCCTCTTCCTTCTCAGTAGCAGAAACAGCCTGCAGCAGCCTGTACAAAAGTCAAAGCAATTAAAAATAGATATCAGCAGAAGCAGGGAACGAGAGGAATTCAGTACCCTCACTGCAGGTTGCCCACCCACCCTCATCTCAGGAAAGTTCAGCCTGATCCCCTGCATAGTACCTGCTAGAGAACCCCTACTTTCTCCAAACCCCTTGCTCTCAAAACTTTGCCTAGAGTTTGTGTGCTGGCACAGAGAAAAAGGAAAATATTTTCAGTTTATGCTAAGGAGGTGACGCTCAGGAAAAAAAAATAAGAATTCTTCTTGTATAATAGACATGTCACTGACCAATGCCAAGAACACAGTTTCAGTAATCTAATCACATCCTGACCCTCAGTAAGTATTTTTTGCATGTTTCACCCAGAAAGCCCTTTAGGAGGATTTCACTATAATCAGTCAGCATTCACGGGGCACCAGTAAGCATAAATAGAAACAAAGTTCCTTCTTAATGAGCCAATTGACTTCACTGTATTGCGCTGGATTGTACTAAATCTTAAGGGATGAAGTCTGCAGTATCTCGGTCTCATTTTGGTGTCCTAGAAATACCCATCATCACAGCATCAAAGGACATAGATCTAGTTCAGGGGTTCTCAAACCTCATTGAGCCGTGACTCCTTTCTGACAACAAAAATTACTACATGACCTCAGGAGGGGGAACCGAAGTCTGAGCCTGACAGAGCCCTTGGGCGGGGCAGGGCAAAGCCAAAGCGCTTCAGCCCCAGGCAGGATCCTGTAACTTGAGCCCCACCGCCTAGCACTGAAGCCCTCAGGCTTCGGCTCTGGCCTCGGGCAATGGGGCTCAGGCTTCAGTTTCAACTCCAGGCCCAGCAAGTCTAAGCCAGCCCTGATGAGCCCATTAAAATGGGTTCGCAACCCACTTTGGGGTCCCAAACCACAGTTTGAGAACCGCTGGTATAGTTTTTAGAACAAGGGAGCACTAGTCAGGATTCCAGCCCTGGTTCTTACTCCTCTGTAAAGCAGGTACAGTAACATCTACCTATTTAACAAGCATTGCAAGTATCAGGTAATTATGTAGAGTTTAGAGATTAGTTAGAGAAGTGTAAGTGACATTTCCTGGTCTAAAGTAACAACGTCCAAATGATATTCAGGGATAGGTGAAAGAGAATTACTTGAATGACTCCATTAAATCTGAACTTGCTCCACAGATGTTCGATAGAGAGTACCACCCTTCAACTATGGCAGGATTCCAGCCACCTGTGCGGGACAGTTCTTGCTGGACCCACTCTGGGACTGAAGGCTCTTCTGGACAGAAAGGCAAAAGTTAGAATGAAACGAAGGATATTTCAAGTGGCCTCAGCGCTCCCAAAGCCCCAAACGCTTCTACTACCTGGCACGTGTCACCGAGCCTTACCAATAAGCACAGTAAAGCAAATGCTCAGTCAACAACAACACTTACCACCCACCACAGTAGCCTGGGGTCCAGCAAACTTGGACCCTGGCAGATAGCCAGAGGGAGCAAGTTCCAAAGCCAGAGACGGTCCACTAGGAACACCAATTTTCAATCTCTAAGAATTCAGACTTAGGGACTATCAAAAGGAGATTCATTTTGCATTCTACACACTTACCAGAACTATCTAGATCATCTCTGATTGAAATATCAACTTGACTCAATACACTGCTCACAACTTCTGGGAGATGAAAGGCATAGTCCTTGCAAGAACTCTCAGTCACAGCTCCTTGGAGGAGACATCTCTGAACTTCAGCAGCCTTTTCAGTGCAGAATAGGGTAAGGACTGCAACAGTGTCAGAGAGTGGGGATAAAACTGCAGTGCAGGGGGACCAAACTTCAGATGCAGACACTTCAGCAATCTATATGAAGGGGAAAGACATCTAGGTTATCTAAAAATACTAAATATAAACAGCCTTCAAACGGCAGAAGAAGCAGCTCACAACTAGGTTAGAGACTGAATTTTTTAAAAAAGTTTCTAAATTTAGAACAAAATATGAGTTTGTGGAGCAGACTAACATTTATCAAACCACTAAGATAGCCCTCATCACTGTAATATGAGTGCCTGCTATTTCTTTGCAGTTTCTAGAAAGGGTAGTAGCTAAGTACAGGCTGGAACATTTACCATGTGTAGTTTTTCAGTAATTAGCCTTCTTACAAGCTGTTGAAACAACATGTCTTGTTCTGATTGTCCTGCCTGGGAGCTCTGCAGTATCCAGCTCTCAGTGAGGAAGTTGTCAGCCTTCACCAAATTCCAGTCTGCCAAGGTGCCTTTCAGGAAGATGCTGACTGGACTCTGGAAGTGTCTCTGGTTCATGGCTATGGGCTCCAAAATCACTGCACATCTCCACTGCTTCTCTACTCCTATTCAAGGTGAAAAAACAAACAATGGGTAAAGGAACAGAAGACTCAGCAGCAAGTGTAAAAAAAGCTCATGGATTAGGCAGGCAGGCAGTGGCTCTGTGGTAAGTATGCTATGGGACCACAGGAAAGATCTGAGCTTTTGTGGTCCTGAGCACAAGGGCTGAGAGCACTGTGGAGACAGCAAACTCAGCTCATGTTGGAGAAAAACAAGCACTGCATATCACTTGGAAAGCTACACCCTGTAAGCTGATCTAATCAGCTTTGAAGGAGATCTCCCATTCAGCTCTCTTTGGCCAAAGGAAAGCTAAGGGAAAGTGGTGCAGATTAAAGAGAGGAACGCACACAGGAACCCACACACATGCATGTGCACAAGGCTCTGCAATAGAGGTATAGGTACTTCAGAAGGTCTCAAATCAGGCTCCTGTCCATTACTTATCTGTATTCATTCAGAAACAGCACAACAGAGGCCAACAGTTATATTTAGGCTGGGCAGAATTCAATTTGTATTTTTTATAATATCATCAGATATTAAATTAAAAATGCTTTAAAATAAACTTTTATTAATTTAAGTTTTCACAATGAGGAAAATTATGGGGGGTGTCAAACAATAGAAGAAGTCAGACACTAATTATTTAATGGTAGACACAAATTCAAAAAGTTAAAGCTTTATAACCAATACAGTTAATCAACATCACAAATATACACCGTTATTATCCTTAAATCAAACTCTAATAAGTTCTCAAGAAGCATTTTTCATACTTCGTCTATCAGTAAATTTTGATTATTATCGACGGAAATATTGTTTCTTTGGTTTGTGTGTATATGGTGAAACTGACATTCACCCGTAAAAACGTAATCCTTCCAAGCCTAGTTATGTTGGCTCACACATGAGTGGCCCCTTTGGAGTTTGTTCAGGGCACTGTCTTTCTATTTTACTGTCATCATTTGAGATCTCCTTAAATAACTGGAATCCTCTACATGTGCTTTTAGCAAGAGGAAACATCATGGCTCTGGTCTCTAACACAGAATCCATTATTAAGTAAAGCCTGGCCACCCCTTCCATTACCATGCTTGCTGAGGAATAATGCTCCTTCTTGCTGCGGGAATGATGCTTGGAATACAGAAGGCTTAGAGAGCAGACAGTTCAAGGTTGAAGTAAAGGGCAGGATTGTGGTCCATGGCACAAACTGTGGCCTAGAAGAGCTGGACTCTCTACAAAAGAGAGGGGCTGCCTCTGTTCTGTGGTGACTCAAACCCTGAATTAAGGTCTCGGATGGCAAAACGATGCCACCCACCAGACAGATCAGTTCAAAGATTGTCCAGTACCCAGCATGATCTGGAGACTCTAGCACCTGAAATGAAATAAGGAAACAAGTTAGTACTAGCAATAAGATGATCACTATCAGGAAATGTAAATAGTTGTCATTTAGAGAAAATGGTGCAAGAGAATATCTAAGAAGGTACTGGGGCGAGGGATGGCCTATTTGCCTTTTTTCTTCTTAAATATAGCTTCCTGCATCCTTAATTTTTATGCATAATTACATTTTATAATTATATTCAATACAGCAGGGTTCTTCAAATGCTTTATAATCATTATCTAGCAAATCCTCACAACCACCCTGCAAGGAAGGTATTATCATTCCTATTTAACAAGGTAAGGCCACAGCTTTCAAGCTTGGATGCCTGAATTTAGGCACCCACGTATTTAAGCACCTGCAGGCTGTTTATTAAAGCACCTGCACTCCCACTTAAGTCAATGGATGAGACATCCCACAAATAAGCACTTTGGCACAGTTCAATGGCATTTTGGGATGTATAAGTAGGGGCATAGCCAGCAGATCAAGGGACGTGATCGTTCCCCTCTATTCGACATTGGTGAGGCCTCATCTGGAGTACTGTGTCCAGTTTTGGGCCCCACACTACAAGAAGGATGTGGAAACATTGGAGAGAGTCCAGCGAAGGGCAACAAAAATGATTAGGGGTCTGGAACACATGACTTATGAGGAGAGGCTGAGGGAACTGGGATTGTTTAGTCTGCAGAAGAGAAGAATGAGGGGGGATTTGATAGCTGCTTTCAACTACCTGAGAGGTGGTTCCAAAGAGGATGGTTCTAGACTATTCTCAGTGGTAGCAGATGACAGGACAAGGAGAAATGGTCTCAAGTTGCAGTGGGGGAGGTTTAGGTTGGATATTAGGAAAAACTTTTTCACTAGGAGGATGGTGAAACACTGGAATGCATTACCTAGGGAGGTGGTAGAATCTCCTTCCTTAGAAGTTTTTAAGGTCAGGCTTGACAAAGCCCTGGCTGGGATGGTTTAATTGGGGATTGGTCCTGCTTTGAGCAGGGGGTTGGACTAGATGACCTCCTGAGGTCCCTTCCAACCCTGATATTCTATGATTCCCCATCTTCCAGTGTACCTAAATCTGAACAAAGGTAATTGCCATTCCAGTCATGGGCCTCAGCTGAGCAGGGATGCCCATTAGCTATTAAGCAGATAATTCTACTCATTTCATTTGTAATGAAAGTCACCTCACACCAAAAGGTTAGACTATAAAGCTACCTGACATCATCCTGTGCAGTTGGATAACTGGTAGGGAGTGAAAAGAAAAGGAGTACTTGTGGCACCTAAGAGACTAACCAATTTATTTGAGCATGAGCTTTCGTGAGCTACAGCTCACTTCATCGAAAGCTCATGCTCAAATAAATTGGTTAGTCTCTAAGGTGCCACAAGTACTCCTTTTCTTTTTGCGAATACAGACTAACACGGCTGTTACTCTGAAACCTGGTAGGGAGTGGTACACTAACACTGGTCTTAAATACTCTACTGCATTAGCTCTCATTACCTTGGACCATTCAGCAGTGTCTACCCAATACAGAGTGATTTTCTGGCCTGCAATCATCTCCTGGACTCTCTTGGGTAAGAGTTTCTCTGCCACCTCTTGAGAAGAGGGCAAATCACAGCAGGAATGGACATCACTTCCAGACACAAACTGCAGTAGCTCCCTCTGAGAATGAGGGCAGGGAGAGAAAAGAAAGACGGCATTCACAAAGCCCTCAGAGGGCATATGGCTCTCAAGTGGCTCATCCGGGGCCACAATCAACCTGCTCTTCTGGCTCCTCAAGAATGGCTTGGCTGGTGAGGTGATGTCAGGTCGATCCCACTGGTAATCCAGTAGTGTTTCCTTCAGCACATTCTGGGTGAGGGTGGCTCTCGGCACTGGGCCAGGTAAATGAGATTTGTGGCTCTGCACCCCAAACCTGGACTCCAGTTCTTCCTCAAAGTCTTCCCAGCTGCGGGGCCCCAGCTCACAGAAATCACCCACGCGGGCGGCTCTGCCTCGGGCGCCCAACGAGTCAAAGAACTTGAAACCCCATCGTACCTTGGCCAGGCCAAACCTGCAGCCCAAGTAGTTCAGAATCCTCAGGCAACCCAGCTGGAGCTGGTTCTTCTGCAGGGAGCTGGCCACATCCAGTAGAAAAACCACATTGTGGGAGCAGGTCATGTTGCCACTGAAGGAGTTGTCCAATCACAAAGCACCTCAGGCGGCAACCCCCCCTACCCGACACACACCCTGCTTCTCTCTCCAACGCACGCACCCTGCTGCCCCCTCCAAGTTAGCCCCTCACATGCACAGAGACTGCCCACCCCTAGCTAACCCCCCTGCACACAGGCTGTTGCCCCCCAGCTGCTTCCTTGCCTCCAGCTAGTCCCCCCCACGCACACACCCTGCTGCCCCCCCGCTAGACCCCCCCACGCACACACCCTGCTGCCCCCCCGCTAGACCCCCCCACGCACACACCCTGCTGCCCCCCCAGCTAGACCCCCCCACGCACACACCCTGCTGCCCCCCCGCTAGTCCCCCCCCACGCACACACCCTGCTGCCCCCCGCTAGACCCCCCCACGCACACACCCTGCTGCCCCCCCCAGCTAGACCCC